AATTGTCAACCTACCTTATGGTAATATATATAAAGATTTTCGTAATAATGGATTTGTAGAATTAATTCCGTTTATGTATGTTCGATCGAAATCAATTTCGAGTTATTCTTGAGTGTATTTATAAGTCATAGATGTTTCTCCTATTCTCACTGATATTGTTAAAATCAATTATGGATCGAACTCCTATTCTGATGATTCTGATTCTGAGTTTTATTCTGATTCTGAATCTTTTATATGTTCTCTATCAGATTCTGATAATGATGATGAGTAATTCCAGCATTGAATCCACATTCTATATACGTTTCATTCCATTTAATGACCATTGCATATTCATTGCTAATATTGTGTTATTTTTTGTTTTAAACATCGTATCATAATTCTCTGGTCATTGATTAGGATCCGATCATCGATTGACTCTTATTATCATCATAACCTAGGTTAATTCAGCTTGAATGTTTCAATCCTTTATGCAATCGATGTTTTAAATGTAAGTAAAGAACTAAGAGAAATGGAAAAGTTAAAGTGAGATAATCATATATGATGCAATAATCAATATAGAAATATGTAATTCTTGGCAAATCACTAGATTCTAAAGGATTGAATTGATTCGATCAAGTGCATGAACTGGATTGTTTAAAATTATCTCAAAATTGTTTTTACTTGGTTTTGGAGATTGGCAGTGACTGTGAATAAGCAAGTTTTCAATTATAAATATATATATGTGGGTTAATATACATTACTTTTCTACATTCTTTTTATAATGGATAAGATATGAAACAAATGGTACATTGCTAATTAGATATCTTTTTAGCACTACGATTGGTAAATAATATTTTGTGAAATGATTGAATGAGTGTTTGCAATACTAATCACAACGTAATTGCATATTAATTATTTCTTTCAATTGCTTTTGCTTTTGTTTATATCAATTATCCACAGAAGTTCTATTTTCAGATATTCTTATCAAGAATAATTGTACTGTTGTTGTATTTACAGTAAAATAGCTTGATATTTGATGCAGTAAATTGAACTAGTTAGTAATACACAATATGGTATCAGTATAGTAAAATAGCATTGATTTTGTGAGATCCAGTTCTTTTTTGTATGAATTATAAATGAGTTTGTGATCAATAACAAAAGAATAAACCGTACAAAATAGTGTTATCGATAAATCCTTTACGAAAAAGACTTAAATAAGTTAAGCGCTGATGATGATGAATAGATACGATAAGGATTTACTACAAATTCACTTTATGAATAAAATAATGATATTCTTTTTTTCAATTTATGATTACCCTATTTCCCATATTAAGGACGTTATTCTGAATGAATATTATTGTGAAAAAGTATAAGAGATATAACATATATAAATGGAATCATGTAATAGCTACGTACAGTTCATTCTGTAAAAATGACATTTATATGTAAATATGTACAATGCTATATACATTTATTGCTGGTTAATAGAACTCATTATAAAACAGCGGAATTAATAAATTAACGTGAGTGATTCATCTATGCTTGGTCTTATCAGTGTTATCTGTAACTATTGAGTGTTATTTCAATTTACTATTATATTTGTAAAACGCTATTTGATTATGATAATTCAAAATACTATACAATCATTTGAAAACTGAAAACAAAACACGGATTAGGCTCATTGTCATAACATTATAATATAATTCACAATGTGAACAAAAGAGATCTGTGCAGTTTTAGAATATGTGCATTTCGGTTAAATATAGTCGAACTCTTGGAGAAATGAAAAACCTACAAAAATAGAATGTATTTTGAAAGATTTGCTGTACAGTGTTGTTGTTTCTAAGCGATTCCTTCTTATCACTAATAATAAATTAAAAAAAGCAGTGATGGAATCAGATATTTAAAAATAAATCAATAACAATCCGCTGGATTAAAACTATTGCTTGTCATGGATTACGCAGTAAATAGCAAAGCAACAATACTGGCATTACGCCATATCAGTTTTAATACACACAATTAATTCCATTCACATAGATACATCTTCTAATACATTCAGCATACACACAAGACAACAGTCTATTATATGAAAAACATTCTTATTGCGATTCTATTACAGATTGCTTTATACTCATATTTCCAACAAGCTCAGTAAGGTTTGTTAGGTCATAGGAATGCAATTAGTTTATTTTTCAAATTCATTTTATGTATCTAATCCAAAAATATGTTTGCTACCCATTATTCAACAATACTTTACGCAATGGAAGCATTATTTGTGAAATATCCCTGATTCTTCTCCATAGTATCTGCTGATTTAGATTTTTCCTAATCTGTTGAACGTGTAACAATTGATAGCAGACAGACCCTTTTTTTATTAAAAATATTTACTTTCTCGCTGTAAATGCACGACTATCACTTTCAAAATGAAAAGGTCTACAGCACAGGCAGCATTCGTCAACCTTTCACCTTTTCACACTCTACAATCATGTTCCTTTATCGTCCTATCCATTCTCTCTTTTCTTCCCAGTATTGAGTGTTTGCAAACACTTTCCTATTCTATTTTGTGTTTTCTCCCAGGTAATATGCTGGAATCCTTCTTATAGTATTACCACTATTACTACTACTACTACGATAAACTCTATCATACACCCCAAATCGCATAATCTATTTCTCTCTAAAATCTTTGGTTCTTTCTGAATTCCAGAAATACCGCCGATTTATGCCGTTCTCCTTATCACCAAATCATTATTACTCCTTCTTTTAGCGATGTCTTCGAATTCTGTGTATTTTGATCCACTCCTATTGTTGTTATCGATAGTACTCCTGAGTTTGCTGAGTTCATCAATGCTCTTCGGTCTCCTGATAATGCAGTCCGTGATAATGTACAACCTATCGGAGTTCATTCCACCTAGGCTGAGGCACATCTTGACAAGTTGCTGAATGAGGACGTTCTGAATGTTTTACGCATTCTTTTTGTCTCACGTACAGGTGATTGACCAGTTCTTTAATATTATTTCCTCCACCACGGATTCCTCGGTGAAATCGTTCGTTGTTGTCATTCTTCGCAAGGTAGTTACACAGAAAGCTTGGAGCCAGCTCGATGACCAGAAGAAAGGCCAAAGTATTGCTTCCTCTGTTATTCTCCCTAGTTTTATCCTTCCTACCCCAGTTGTTCCAAGTGGAGAACGATGGTCGCGTTCGCCACAATCTGTGTGACCTAATTTCCCAAGTGAGCAGTCTGGAGCCCGAGTGGCCGGCATTGTTCCCCTTCGTTCTCTCTGCCTGCTCCCAGGAATCCGAAGTCCGCGTGGAAGGCCTGTACCTCCTCGGCGAGCTGAGCGAAAGCAACGAATCTGTACCTTCTAAGTTTCGCCTCAATCAAAGCTCGTCGCTGAGCACATCACGGAGATCGTCTCCATTCTGAGCGGCTCGCTGCAGAGTTCGAATCTCGCCTTCCAAGTCGCTGCGGCCCGCGTATGTCCTTGCTGATCCGCGCTGACCAACAGACGACGATGAAGATCATGACCGAAATGGAGGTCGAGAACGTGGTTTCCACGTTCGTCAGCGCTCTCCCCGCGGTGATCAACACGGTGCAGCTGGTGCTGAACGCGCAGGACGAAGATTCGCTGCAGTCGCTGCTGGAGGACCTGGTGAATTGTGCGAGGTGGGAGCAGCGCGGTCCGTGTGACGCCTAGCGTGATCTGCGACTTTGCTCGGCAGCTGGTGGGTCCGATCGTGGAGATGTGTCTGGCGATCGGTAGACTCGCTGTGGCCGCGTAACGAATAGCCGGGAACGAGTCGTTCTTCACGGGAACGCGGTCGCTGGCGGCGAACATCGTGTCGTCGATCGCGGAGGAGAACGGCGGATTCTTCCGGAAGAACGCAGGCGCGATCACGAAGTACCTGGAGATCGCCGTGCAGATGATCAGCGACATCAGCGACGACGCGTCCTGGGAGCAGGGCGTGTTCGGCGACGAGGACGAGCTCTCGGAGGACAACAGCAGTCCCCATGTGGCCGGAATTATGGTAGGAGTCGAGAGGAAATGCGAGGTAGATGGTGGCCAACCTCGCGGACGCGCTGCACGCCGCGGCGTACAAGCCCGCCACGCAGCTGATGACGCAGTGCAGCCGGTCGGAGAACTGGAAGATCCGCCGCGCGACGTACGTGCTGATCTGCCACATCGCGGACGGCTGCAAGAAGCAGGTGGAGGCGAATCTGCCGTGGATTACGACGATGATGCTGAACGGACTGAACGACGGTCGGGGTGTTGGGCGAGATTGACGCGTAGCGCATCCGCGCGTTGTGTTCGTGGCGCTGCAGGCGATTGCTTACGTGTCGGTGGCACTGCCGGTGACGTTCCAGAAGAAGTGCGGCGCGCAGGTGCTGCAGAGCGTGCTGCAGCTGGTGCAGAAGAACCCGTGCCTGCGCGTGCAGGCGATCGCGGCGTCCTGCGTGGGACAGTTCTGCTCGTGCGAGATGATCAGCAAGAAGATCTTCAAGAACGTGCTGGAGCCGCTGACGCAGTGGATGTACAGTCTGTGCTCGGTGAAGTAGCGGTGCGGGGTGGGGCTGACGCGCAGCATGCCGTCGGTGCAGTCGGAGGCGATCTCTGCGATCGGCAATCTGTGCAGAGCGACGAAGGAGGACTTCGCGCCGTACTTCCACACCATCATTCAGGGCTTGCTCGGCATTCTGGGCTCGGCGGCGACGACGGAGACGATGAACGTGCACGTGGCGGCGTGCGTGTGCTTGTGTAGGACACAGGGGAGAGCGTGCGAAGTAGCGTCGCTGGTGGCGTCGATGAAGGACGTGGTGAACAAGAGCGAGGCCTGGGAGATCATGCAGTTCCTGATGAACCAGGTGAACAACTACTCGAGCGGAGACGAGCTGATGAACGGTCTGCTGGACTGCATGGCGGAGATCTTCCAGTACTGCGAGACGGAGAACAAGCAGCAGTTCCTCGTGGTGATGATTCCGAAGCTGATCGAGCTGACCAAGACGAACGTGGACTATTCGCTGAAGCAGGTGGTGGCGGGTCCCGAGTACCAGAACGAGAATGGCGTGGAGCGATTGACGATGGACACGAAGAACATGGGCAAGGTGCAGATGTCGATCAACACGACGGCGATCGAGGTGGTGTCCAATGCGGTGCGTTTGATTCACAATCTGATTATTGATGCGGATAGCATGATGCTTCCATTCATATCCTTTAAGTGTTGTTGTGATTGTGTGAGTTCATTGAAGTGAGAGTTGAATTCGGATTGGAATTGGGAAGTGAGTTCATTTGATTCCTGTGTGTTTTCATTGGAGTTTTTAGTTTTTGAATTCATTGAGATTTCCATTCTTTGAATTCATTGGGATTCCCCTTTGTTATATTCATTCGAACTCCCATTCTTTGACTCATTCCAACTCCCATTCTTTGACTCATTCCAACTCCCATTCTTTGACTCACCCCTTCCTTTTGGTTCCTTCATTCCCCACGTTGGCGATGTGTTCGCCGCCATTTCGCCCCTCGTCGATTTCACGTGGCACGAGGAGGTCCGCAACCTCTGCGCCCGCATTCTCCCCAAGCTCTTCACGCTGCTGGTGAACGGCCTGCGCAACAACCAGACCACGGCGCAGCAGTGCCTGGATCTCTACAACGAGACCGTGAAGATGCTGATCGAGCAGTACACGGCCGAAGACGCCGCGACGGAGCGAAGCTGCATCGCTGAATCGCTCCGCGACATTTTCTGCGTAGCCCCACAGCGACCTCTCGAATCGTAGACGTGCTATGAGAGCGGCGATGAGAGCCATCACATGTTCCAGAACCAGCGCATGCCGATTCCCTCCGACTCGCTGCCCTCGGTGGTGGAAAACCTCCTCGAGTTCCTGAAGGAGTCCGTGGAGATCTTGGAGGCGATGTACAAAGAGGTAGATTTCGAGGACCGCGAGATGGAGGACGCGCGCAACGAGTTCGAAGAAGAGGCCGGCGAGGAGAAGGACTGCGTGGAGAACCTCCTGGACGCGCTGGGCTACATCATCCGCTTCGCGGGCAACTCGATCGCGCCGCTCTACCAGCAATACATCTCTCCCTTCTGCGCCAAGTACATGGCGTCTCCCTTCGAGTACATCCTCTTCGTCGGCGTCTGCAGCATGGACGACCTCATGCTCTACGCGCCCGACGTCGTCGCCCCCGTCGTCAACGACCTCCTCGGCTTTTTCCACCAGCACATGCACTGCGAGGACCCCGCGCTCCGCCAGGCCGTTCTCTTCGGCGTCAAGGTCGCCATCGAGCGCTTCAACGCCGTCGTGGCGCCGCAGGCGCAGGCCATTCTCTCCGCGCTGCTCCGCGTGGCGCAGAGCCAGGAGGCGGAGGACGAGAAGTACGCGAGCGCGACGGACAACGCGCTGTCGGCGATCTTCTCGCTGCTGCTCGGCTGTCCCGGCAATCTCGGACCTTCCCAGGCCGATCAGGCGCTGCAGCTGTTTGTGAGCCACTTGCCGCTGATGGAGGACGTGGCGGAGGCGCAGGACGTGCACGAGCGCGTGGTGATGGAGCTGGAGAAGCCGAACCACGGACTGTTCAACAATAAAAACGTGATGGATGCGGTGATGCAGGCATTGCCGATGATGCTGCTGCCGACGTATGATGACGGAGATAATGAGTATGAAATCACGTATGACGAGACGAAGATGGAGATTATGAAGATTCTGAAGAGTTTGGACAGACGACAGCTGAATGGATTGCTGAACGGACTGGAGCCCGACATGCGGATGGCTGTGAACAGCATTTTGAGTAACTAAGCTGTGGAGTGTGTTGTTGCATTGTTTGTTGGAGAGAGAGAGGGTCCAGGGTCCAGGGTCGAATGAGCTGGGACGTAACATTCTGCTATTTGGGTACTACTAGAGGTTCTCCACTATGCATACAAGATTGTTGAGTTTTGCATCACGCTGCGCAATTTACACAAACGTGCATTTTTGCAGGATGGTATGGCACTCTGCATGCATTTTTATGCACAGAGAATGGTCTACTCTCTTGATAATCTCATATTCGTGTATATTAAGAGATTTCAGCAGAATACACAACAAAAATCCACCTTTTTTCCGATTTCTACAAATATTTCCATTTCTACTGCATCATTTATGGAGGAAGTGAATATTAAGGACCAGAAGGGAATCATCAACTGGAGAATTGTGTCCGTTATTCTGTTTGTGATTTTCATTCAGCAATTGGTTTGTGCCCTGCTCTACGCTGCTCTTCCTTTCCTTATTCCGACATATTTCCCTGATGTAGGGCTATTTGCGATGTGAACACAATTAGATTGAACAAAACAAGGTTGGTAATTATGCAGGCTACTTAATTTCGATGTACAATATTGGTCAGATTCCCGGCTGTCTATTTTGGGGTTGGTATGCTGATCGTTCTGGAAGAAAGACTGCCTTGCTGATCATTACACTCGGTAGGCGTAATCGGCATTATTAACTGCAGCGAACGGAGTCGTTATGAGTCTTTTTGGTTTGTCGACCAATTTCTATGTGGCCATCTCTCTTCGTTTGCTCTGGGGAATGCTCGACGGTTATTTGGGAATCTGCAAAACCGTCCTCACGGAAGTGTGTTCTCCCGACATGCTTCCCATCACCACCGGTCTGATCTTTCTTTCGATGGCTCTGGCGAGCACTGCGGGTCCCATCGTTGGAGGCTATCTCTCCGACCCGGAAGAACTGCTCGCCCCCATCATCGACCGTCTTCCCTATCTGAAGCGTGTTCCCTTCGCGATTCCTCTGTGTCTCTGCGGCTTCGGAAGCTTCGTGTGTATGGTTCTTCGCTTGGTGGGACGTAGGCTGCTTGCTGATCTTGCGGTGGGTGGACGAGACCTTCCCGAAGGAGGAACGCGAGCGAAAGAAGGAGGTCAGCGAGGCGATGGCGCAGAAAATGTCGGGTATTCTGCGAAAGCGCGGCCGTGCGGAGAGTCTGGACGATGAAGAGCATGTGATGCTGCTGATGAGCCAGAACAACTACATCTCGATGTTTAAGGACAAGCTGACGCTGATTTCTGTGTTGCTTTATGGTTTGAATGGAGTTGTTTTGTGATGTAGCGATCGAGGGACTCATCCAAGGCACGTATGATACGCTTCTCCCCGTCTGGCTGGCCGCGGCGCGCTCGGTTGGAGGGTTCGATATGGACAAGAAAGTGCTGGGCTGGGTCGTGAGCTTCGTGTGTCCGATGCAAATGGCGACTTGTCGGATTGTGGAGTTGTGGCTTATGGCTAGTGCTTCTCTTCCCTGCCGTGTCGGCAGTGAGCAGTACGCGAACCTCCTACTGGGTGCTGAGCGTCGTGCAGGTGTTCGTTCTGGCGCTGCATCCGCTGGTATCGATGCTGAACTCGCTGGGAACCACGCAGGAAATCGCGGTGCTGTACGGAATGATCTCGACGTTCCACATCATTCGATCGATTCTCTTTAAATATCCGATTGATTACCAACCATCTTGGTATGGGGGCTTAACAACACTGCGGTGTATGTGCTCATTGCCAATGCGTGCTACAAGGAATTCCGAGCCAAGGCGTATAGTTTGAGTCAAGTGTTGGCGGGACTTCTTCGCTTCTTTGTCGGTGTGTGGACGGGTTTTGACGTAGGGACCGACGTTGATTCCGATTTTATTCGCGTGGAGCATCGCGAAGCCGCGTCCGTTCCCTTTCAATTATGGACTCAGCATGTATGTGCTGGCTCTGCTGACGGTGGTTTGCGTGGTTCTGACGTGGATTCTGCCTGAGTCCGTAAACGAGCCGAAGGGATCGCTGTATACGGAGGTGGAGGAGCGATCGAAGAAGCGAGCAAAGGTGGATGGATCGGTGGAAGCGCCGCTCCTGGAGAACGAGGTCAATTAGTTGTGAATCAGTGTGGTGAGAATTGTTTGCTGGATAGAAACAAAGGAAAGGGAAACAAGAGGAACAATGAACGAGATCTGGGCTTTGTTTTTACAGAGGAGCAATGAATTTAGAAAAGAATGAACGCATCATTGGAAGTGTGTGAAATGGATTGTAGAAATACCAATTGGCGATGGAAATTGTGATTCCGATGCTCATGATGAACGCGTAAAACGTGTAGAGATTGTACTTTGCGATACACTGACTATGAATTAGCGACTCGGCACGGAAATACCCTATAACACCGCAATGGTGATCATAACTAGGATTAAAGAGAAACAAAATAAGGAAGTACTTGTAGAAGCAAACTCCACAAATATTACAGTGGTTGGCTTTAGGGGGTCGATACAACTGACAGATGCTGCAGTAAGTATATCCCTGCTTTTCCAAATCGTCTCCATTTTCGATGGCGTTGTTTTCATCACGAATAATCACTCCAGGATTCATCGTTCCTGTGTAAATGTAACAAAACATGGCACACGCATAACTGATCACATACATGTATCGTGCGATTTTTAGGGTGACCAGATCTATTGTATAGTAAACAATGACACCAAGAAGAGTCAAGAGAAAAAGAAAAAACATGAAAACCCATCTATCTTTCAATCCATGAACACCACATAAACCTATTCGGACCCAGCGATAGCGTGAATCCCTTCTTCGTGTGATCCCCGAAAATGATATAAAAGTTCCCTTGTTTGTAAAAATAGCTTTCATATTACCAATCTGGTTGAACTCTACTTCCTCTTCGAATCAGTTCGCATCGGACTTCCAAACGGACTGTCAAAAAATGGATCCGTTCTTGTTGTTTTTGCAGTGTACACAACGTCTGGAGAATCCACACTATCACGGAATACTCCAATTTTGAATGGTTCAGCCAACTCGTTCATTGGTTCCGTTTATCCTATTTCCCATCAATTTCAGACTCTCACCCCTCACCAATCGCTCCTTCCTCCTCTCCCACTCGTATTTCCAACAAACAACCCATGGCACGTTAAAGCAAGTATCTCACTGGCTGGTCCGCAGGATACGTTCTCTTATCCGGATCTTCCTCCTTGAACACTTCAAAGTGTCTCTCCAGCGTCTCGCTCAGCTGCAGAATGGACGCCAGATTTCCCGATCGATAGCAGTAATTGGGAGCGGACCACACCTTTCCGTCACTCCTCTCCTCCTCTTCGCCTACCGTGCACACTGCCTTGTCGAAGAAGTACTGGTACCCGTCCATAGCCATTTGATGAGCTCGGCACACCAGCTCCAGACCGTTGATCTGATTGAACTCCTTTGCCACGTCTGCGCCGAAGATCCAGCCAGCCCCGCGGAAGTTGCGCTTGAATCTAGGCTTGAGGGAGAGGCGAGGACGCACCCTTCGATGTCAGGCTCGGGATCGGACCAGAGCAGATCGGCGTAGAGACCCTCGTTGGCTACTTCTTGGAAGCGGTAGATGCTGTTGATGTGGTCTACGGTGCGGATGAACGGGGACAGACCGCCATGCACACACAGGATTTTGTCGTCGATCAGCGCAGCGATGCTCATGCAGTCGAAAATGTCCACCAGATACTTCCAGGCATTGGTGCTACCGTACTTCTGCATGCACTCATCGTAGAAGCCGTACACCTGGGTGATCTGACGACCCTCGTGGTTTCCTCTCAGTAGGACGATGCGGTCCGGATAGCGCGCTTTCAGACAGAGGAACAGCTCGATACATTCGACACTGAAGTATCCACGATCCACGTAATCTCCCATAAAGACGTATTTCGTCTCAGGCACATCACCGCCGAGACGGAACAATTTCTTCAGATCGTAGTATTGTCCATGGATATCTCCGCAGACGGTTACGGGAGTGGAAACGGGCTACGGCCATGAGTCAAACCAACTGGTCATACAATAACGTTGGGCTCCTGCATGAGCAAGTCCTTTACAATACGGCACAATAATTCAAGTTCATTCTCCTCCAACGGAATTTTCTGACGGAGTTTTTCAACCCAAGCATCAAGATCTGCAATCATGTTAATCAAAAATGGGATTAGACTTTGTAATCCTAGAGCGTACAGTGGTCATTATCCTATATTTATCATACTTTCCAAATCATACCCATTCCGCTCGTTTCTGCGTCCAGGTTTTTTATGCTATAACGGAAATGGTGTATGGTTTACAGATTAGCGATATTTTAAACACATTGCGGATACTTGGAATTAGCCCATAACCGGTTTAGAATAGGAATGCAATAGAGGATTTCTTCCGAATCCCCCTGTTTCGAATGAACCACTTTTTTTTTTACCCATTTTCCACTCTTTGTAATGCGTATAAGTATGAAAACGATTTTATGCGTAGCCGCAAAAAAGGGAGAGCTTCCTCCGCTGGAATTCGTTGTTCGTTCAAAGAAAGTGAGAAAGTGCTAAATGTGGCTTTACGGGCAGGGAGTGACCTTGTACTCGATGAATGATGAGGACGGAATGCCTCAGAAGAAAGAGTTTTTCGAATCTACGTGCTGTGTACGTGCATTGGGGGAGATTGATGGTAGGAAGGAATTTCTTGGAGTTCCGATGGAAGTATTTGCGTCTATCGTGAAACTACCGGAGTCCGTGTTTTTGACATGAATAAGTGTGCTTTTCTGCAATGTTTGATGGTAGGAGAACAGAGCGCTTTGCTCTCAACCTGCCCAAGGTTGTGGCCGTGAGCATTTCTCCTCTGAATAGTTGGCTTTTGACGATCGTTCCGTATAAATCGGATCCGAATCTCCAAATCTGGGATTTGAAGACCGGCGAACTCCACTTCTCGGTCGTTCAAAAGTCCTTTTCTCGCCAGGTACATCTCTATTTGCTCTTTTGTAACTGATTCCAGCTCTGGCCGTACATCCAATGGGACAACCAAGAGGACCACGCGATGTTCCACCACGGCGATATTGTATTTCCGCTCTCTGCTCTCTCTCTCATTCGCAGATCACTCTTTACAATGGCCACAACTTTGCGGATGAATCAATGCAGCAAGAGCTGAAGAGCACTGACTCGAGCGTCGCTGCTCCGTTCACCGTGAATTCCACCTCTTACGTGTCTCTCTCCCCCTCCTCGACGTGTCCTGCCGTTTCGCTTCTCTCCCTGCTTCACGCTTAGCTCGTGGTGTTTACGCCGCTGCGCAACGGCGAAGGCATGCTGGCCTATTTCGCCGACAAGTCGCGAACGCAGGGAAACCACCTGGCTCTGCAGCTGAATCGCCGCATGCTGAATTGCAACCAGGCCTTCTGCGAGTGGAACAAAGCGGGCGATCGCGCGGTGGTGACGGTCAGCAACGACGTGGATCAGGTAAGCGACCGAAGAGAAACGTTGAGACGCAGACCGGTGCGTCGTACTACGGCCGCAATTTCCTTTATTATCTATTCAACGACTTCAAGCAGCGTCCCGACATGCTGCTGAACATTCTGCGAGGCGTAGGGGCGAGAAGGCCTTGAATGAATTGAAGGAGCAGTCGGTGCAGGAATCGCAGTTTTCGCCGGACGGCTCGCGCTTGTGCGCGATCACGGCGTCGATCCCCGCGGCCTCGACTTTGTTTGGATTGAGGAGAGGGCGTGAGGCGAAGATTCACAACGAAGGACTGCAAGGAAGAAGGCAGCTGCGGCAAGCTGAACGTGAACACGCTGCTCTGGTCGCCGCACGGTCGCCTGCTTCTTCTCGGCGTAGGTGTGCTGCTTCGACTCGATTGGCAGGGCTTCGGAAATCTCAACGGGGACATTTTCATCTGGGACGACGTGGATCGGAAGCGGATCGTGCAGTTCCACACGGACTACATCACGTCGTGCGCCTGGGCTCCGAACAGTCGCTATTTGATTCTGGGAACGTGCTACCCGCGCATGAAGGTCGACAATCGCCTCTATGTGTACAAGTTCAACGGAAAGAAGGTCTATCAGGAGGACTTCGACTTGCTGTACGAGGTGTCTGTTCGCCCCGTGCTTCCCGGAATTCTCCCCATTCGCCCGCCCACGGTGGACGACATGAATGAAATGCGGGCCACCGTCGCCAAGAAGGCGCCATCGAAGTATGTGCCGCCTCATCTGCGAGCGAAGCAAGGCTCTGCGAAGCCGAATACGCCTGCTGCTATGAATGCTGCAGGTGCTACTAGTGCTGCGAAGAAAAAGAACGATCCGAAGTGGGCTTGGATGGAGCTACTCATTCTAGAACGTCGCGTCCGCTGCCTGGAATTCAACCTGCAGGCTTGCCGGGACTCACGAAGAGCGCCTCGCCGATGGGACCGAAGGGAATGGGACAAGGGACAGCGATGAGAGTGGGACTAAGTCCTCGCGGTGTACCGACGTATACGCAGCCAGCTCCGGGAGTGAACGTGCTGGACGACATCTTTGCTTCGGTGAGTCCGAAATCGCCTCAAGAGAGTTCGGGCGACGCTTTGAAGAAGCGAGTATGCGAGGCGAGGGGAATTGAGCGTAGATGAAGACTGTCCAGAAGAAGCTGAGCGAAATCGCCGAGATAAAGGCGAAATTTGAAATTTTAACAGACGCCCAGCAGGCAAAGGTAAAGGAGGAGGAGAAATTGAAACAAGAAGCCCAAGAGATTCAGGCAAAGCTGAACAACATGTGATGGCTTGTTAAAGAGTGATTTGTTTGTTGAAACCAGAAAAGTGTTTTGTCTCTTGTGCATGTGACTGTTTCCTGTTTCCTGGTGTGTATCTTACTCGAAAACAGTAATGTGGCATCGGCCAATCAGAATCGGTTTGTCATTCCGCAATATGGGACAATTTCGTTCCGCGATCATGTGCGACGACATACAAAACACTCTTGTGTTTTGTATCTACAAATAATTATTTCCTAAGTGTTTGTATTTTTGTTTTCTGTAACACATAGGTGATGGAGACTTTACTCGGAGGAAAGGTAGAAACTTACACTAAAAAGAGCGATCTGCGATCGTCTCTCTGCTATTATATCTCGATTATCTTGGTCCTTTTGGCCTTCATCTTCTCGTGCATCAGTCTTGGATTCTGCAGCGCTGTTTGTTTTTGAGTTTGGATGCTGATTTGTAGGAGCAGATCCAGAACAAGATGTACTCCTACGAATTCCCGTTCTTTGAGGATTGGGCTAAATTCCAGCCTGGAATGCCCGTGAGCATTGATTGGAAGGGAAATGCCTGGCCTGGTGCCGGAACCACCATCTACCGCAACGTTGCGGAAGAGCCCATCACCTACAGCATGAACAACGTGAAGCTGCGACAGCTGAACCACTTCATGACGTTGGCTGTGTTCGATGGAGGTGTGGCTGCCTTCCGTGGCACCTTCGAAAACTTCGAGGTGCAGATGGGAAAGAGGGACCTGCCCACTGTGGACGGTCAGATCCGCCGTGTGAGTGAAGTGATTGCGTTGAACCGCGACACGTTCGTCATCGTCGGTTCGAACGAGCTGCTGCCTCTGACCGTGCTGGTGACTCGTCCTGATTCGGGCCCTCTGACGGTGAGCTTCCAGTTCGGTATTCCCACTCCGATGGGCGATGTGGACAACGACAAGTTCCCGCATCTCGATGCTCTGACCAACACCACGATGGCGATGATCTACGAGCGCAACCATGGTCTGTACACGCGCAAGGCGGAGATAAAGGGCACGGGAAACAACGCGCAGATCTCTCTGGGAAAGGAGACGCGTGTGGGAAACAGCTACGAGTTCCACAAGGTGGCTGGAATGGACGCGAACCATTTCATTATTGCGGCGACGGGTCGTCTGTTCAACTCGTCGTTCTACTACCCTGCCGTGACGGCGGTGCTGTGCACGATCAATAACGATAAGATCGAGGTCGGTGAGTGGAAGTACTTGGCCTGGGCGATGTCGCACAACTACATGGACATGGACAACTTCGACAACCAGAATGCGATCATGGTGTTCTCGGACGCGCTCGAGCACTCCATCATTGCGGTGATGGTCCACTTCAACCGCGAGGACAACGATATCTCCTTCGGATCGTCGCGCACCATCCAGAACGGCGGCTCGGTCTTCTACCCCGAGAAGATCGACATGCGCATTCTCTCTCCCTCGACGTTCGCCGTGTTCTACGAGGACCAGGTCATTCACCGCCTCTGCCTGGTGCTGTGCTCGGTGTCCTCCTCGCGCGATATCTCGGTGGCGTCGCCCACGTACGTGGTCAGCCTCACCTCGGGAGCCTTCTCGTACGATCTCTGCGAGAGCGGAATGGGCGACTTCGTGATCCTGGAGAACCGCGTCACGGACCAGAACCGCGTGTTCATGCACTATGGAGTGGTGCTGCCTCGCCCCTTCGGTATTGCGCAGAAGTCCAAGAACGGCAAGCTCATGATCCAGTTCGCCGGTATGTTCAAGGTGCCCACCAAGCAGCGATTCACTCCTGGCCGAGCCATCTACACGAACTCCAAGGGAGAGCTGCTGGAGGGAAGACCCTTCGGAATGGCCAACAGAGAGTCCGGTCAGTTCTATGAGTACGGACCGGACCGATCGATCCTCAGCCAGAACAACCTGGTGGGAGTGGCTGTGACCAAGAACAAGATCTACATGAAGTTCCTGTAAGCCGTGAAGAGTGAAGAGCGAAGAGCGAAGAGCTCTGTAGAAGGAAAAGCCTTTGGAACTGCATCATGTTTGTGCAACAAACAAAACAAATACCATCTGCAAGTTCCTCCAAGCGGCGATTGTCCACGTTTTTCCCATTATACGCCACCAGGGAGAATAAACAAATTAAACCAACGATTCCAATGATCCCATATATGTACCTACAATGAAGCATAAAATAAAGTGACTACGATACCAAGACGAAATCGAGAGAAGTAATATTCCACAAAATAACAACTATCAGAGCGTTTACGCCATAAAAAACCAACATTAAAAAGAGAATAAAAACTATCAGTCATTAGTCCACAAAAATGCATACACAGATCGCCCCAACTCTGCCCACAGCAGACTACCTTGTAATCGGGTTTGGGCATAATCCAACCAATTCGTCTTTCTTCAAACGGATGAGTTTCCTTACGCTTTTGTACGTCCTTTGCCCATTTATCATATCTGGCAGCCGGCAATCCATACTACACTTCACCAGAAAAACATGTAAAAACCTTTGTTTCTGGATGGTCAGAAGCTAGGGATGTCATTTCCACATTCTTAATTTGATCAGCCATGAGTGATGAGAAAGAAAATCTACACGATCAGTAAAGACTGGAGCACTTTCGTCCAAAACGACCCAATTTAGTAAGGGGCTGGTATTCGGAATTTAGGGACAATAAGGAGTTTGATCGATTCACTCACTCGAATAGAGCGCAATGAATGATCAGCCTGTAGGAAATCCTGTAATTCTTGAATTGCAGAGTACGAAAGACATCAAGCTTCACAAATTTACGTGGAATGATTTGGAAAATGTTACAACCTGTATAAATATTGCATATTCAGAAACCATGGCAGTTTTCAAGAGTATGGATCGAAACTACTCTTTTCAGTAGATGTTCACATTCGGAGGACGTCTAAGAGTCAATTAGAACACATTTTTGCTACGGAAAAAGTAGAACTATGGGGATACAAGACTCTGGCAAGTAGAAATGTCATTTGGATGTTACTTTGAGATGAAGTCGTTGCTGCCGTAATGATTCGAGAAATTGACGAGAAAACGGGGGCAATCGAGTTACTCAGTGTTTTACCGGAGTATATGGGACTGGGTCTCTCAAGCTCGCTATTGCGCAATTGTGAATACGTTCTCCATGAAGCAGGAAAAGAGGAAGTGCAACTGCAGGTCTATCTTCCACGAGGATATTCGAAAGACGATATGAAGCGACTGGGATACAAAATTGTGAGGGAAGAACCATGGAGAGAATTGGAGGATAAACTCAAGCCATCATCCATCGATTCGTGGGTGATGCTGACTGTTAGTAAGGAAATTTAGCTTTTTGTATTATTTTCTGTTTGTGGAGTCACACAAATCTTTCCCTCAGACTTGGGAGCAACGAATGGATACAGAAAACAAGGAGGAGCACTCTCCATCTCTGCCGAAAGCCGAAAACGAGAAGGTAAAGGAAAAAGGTAGTTTACTGTCTTTTCATAAGAAGCAGAGCAAGAAAAGGAAGACAACGAAAATAAGAGCGATTTGGAAGAAACAAAGCGGGAATTGTACTCAAAGGTCCCCATGGGTAAATCTGTAGAGATCGTGCAAACAAGCCCGTCACTCTTTCCATAAAGAATCTAACTACGTATGCTCCGGCACTCTTCTTGATTCCATCTAGAAACACGAACGAGCGACATCTGCGAGAGATATTCAGTAACTATGGAGTGGTTCGGCGTGTCAAACTCCTGCGGAGAGACCAAACTGCCATCTCTCAGGGAGTGGGTTTAGTTGAGATGAATTCGGAAGAAGAAGCACTGAGAGCGATGGATTATTTGGACGGAGCTCAAATTGATGGTAAAGACGGTTGAGAGGATTTAGTGCAGGAGTGGTTGTATATGTACAGAGAGTGTTTAAATCGGTGTTCGACGAGGAGAAGCGCAGAGAAACGAGCTCGCATCACCGTCATCATCATTCTCGCTCAGGACATGAGCGTTCTGATTCTCGTTCTCGACGCCGTTTGCATTCACGAAGTCGGAGTCGAAGTCGCAGCCGAAGTCGCAGTGGAAGTCACTCGCGTCATCATCGTAGTCAAAGAAAATACTAATTTAATTGAATTTAATTGAATTGAATTTGATAACTAAAATAGCGAGTACTGTTTGTGTGAAAATCGTGACTATTTTTGGATTCTTTTCGTGTTGACAAGATAATGTCATTATTGTGTCTATGTTGTAAATGAAATCAGTCGTTATATCTTTTTTCCTCTTTCTACTTATTGTACGTCGCGGTTTTGCGCTTATTGCCATCTCATCTATCGAGGAGGTGTTTTCGCACACACAAGCTCGGTTTGGGAGGCAGTATGAGAACACCTCTATTGTGGGATTTCTCGAGGAGAGCGATCCTTTTGATGCCTGTACGCCTTTGAAGAATAATCATACTGGATCGATTGTACTTGCGATTCGAGGAGGGCCGAGGAGATGCTCGTTTGATACAAAGGTTGCAAATGTAAGTGTTGACTTGATGATTGTAAAAGGTAGATTGAGTCATCGGGAGCAGTTGCCGCTATTATCATGAACTCCCTTCCATCTCCCTTCGAGAATGACGAGTTGATAGAGATGGGTACGAAATCTGATTGGAATGTGAGTTTTCTATATTGTTCTAATGTGTAGCTATCGATCTCGAGTATTTTTATTACACACGCTTCAGGATCCGTGCTTCAATCGTATTTGCATAAAAACGGATCCCTATCCCGATTGCTTGTTGTGGTAAATTCGACAGGGGAGGAAATCCTGACGGTACCGACGTTTTGGGATATGTTTGTAACCTTCCTCCAGCTTTCCATCGTGCTTTGGACGTCGATAGGACTACTGTATTTTTTCTCTTTTTTGATGGGAGTATTTCAACGTTTCAAGCGACGTTTGGCCATTCGGCAGATGCACTCGATTGTGGTGGATTCCAATAATTTCCACGACTCCTATTGCACCGAGTGTTCCATCTGCCTGGAAGAATTCAAAAAAGGAGATCATGTCAAAGTCTTGCCTTGCAAGCATGTATTCCACGAGCATTGCGCTAAGGAGTGGATTGTCGATGTTCGTGGCGTCTGTCCCCTCTGTAGGCAAGGAATTTTTGCCAAGGAGGGAGAAGTGGGTTTGGAGGGAAAAGATGATTGGTAGATTGCTTCGGAGGATCAGCTAAATCGAGAGTTAAACGACTTAGTGGATCGCGAAGCCTTGAGGACTCACTCTAAAACGTTGATTTATCTGTTTGTGATTATCTATGTATTATTAACCTTCGTTTCCTTTGTGTTACCGTGGCTTGTTTGTTCTACACAGGAATGGTTGGGGCAGAAGGATGGCAGAGAATGAAGAGTCTTGTCAATCGAATGACTTCTCTTCTCATGTTTAATAAGATGAAAAATAACGGATACGAAGAGAAGGCATTCTATACCTTATTCTCCCTCCAACAAACACATCCAACTCTCCTTTCTATTCTACACACTCTCTTCCTTTCCCTATGAACACCAAATCATCGCTCGATTCTCAAACAAACAATACCCATTCCATAATTCTTATTTCTTATTCCCATTCCCTCTACTTCATCTGCTTCAGTCTCTCCTCCCTGGCCTTCAGCATCGCGGGAGGCAGCGGTCGTTTGAACGGCAGGAACTTGATTCCGCCCATCCACGGCTGCAACACCTCGGGGATCTCCACGCCCTCGCTCGTCTGATAGTTCTCCAGAATGCAGCACAGCGTCCGCGTCAGCGCGCACAGCGTCGAGTTCAGCATGTGCACGTACTTCTTCTCCTCGTTCTTCTTCTTCGTCGCGCCGCACCGAATCTCCATCGCGCGGCTCTGATAATCCGTGCAGTTGCTGCACGACACCAGCTCGCGGTACGCTTCGTACCCCGGGAACCATCCTTCCAGGTCGTATTTCTTCGCCGCCGCGTTGTTCAGCGCGCCCGACACGATGTTCACCACGCGGTACGGCAGATTCAGCGACTCGTAGAACTCGCGCGAGTTCTGAATCATGTATTCGTGCATCGCCCAGCTCTCCTCCGGCTTCGAAATCACGAACTGCTCCACTTTGTCGAACTGGTGCACGCGGAAAATGCCCCACGTGTCCTTCCCGTGCGCTCCGGCCTCCTTCCGGAAGTTCGTAGAGAACCCCGTGTATTTCAACGGCAGCTCCTTCTCGTCCAGCCACTCGCCCATGTGATACCCGCAGATCGGCTGCTCCGACGTCGCGATTAAATATTTCTCTTCGCCCTCCTCCCCTTCAACGTGGTACAGACTCTCGTCGAAGTCCTCCAGCTGCGCAACGCCGGCCATCACGTCGCGATTCATGAAGTACGGAGTCTGCAAAAGCGTGAATCCGCGCTTTGTGTTCCATTGCATCGCGTACATGATGATCGCCTGGTTCAACAGCACCGCGGAACCCTTCAGGAAGTATCCACGATGGCCCGCTACGCGCGTTCCGCGCTCGGGTTCGTATCCATCGAGCATCCACAAGAGCTCGTGATGGCAATACATATCCTTGGTCATGGGACGAGGCGTTCCCCACTTCCAGACAACACCATTGTTGTCCTCGTTGTTGTCGATGATGCAAGTGTCCGATAATATGTTACCGATCTTGCCCAACTTGGCATCACGCTCCACACGCACTTTCTCCACTTCCTTCTCCGTTTCTTCGATCTTTGCAGTCACCTCCTTCACCTTTGCGGCTTCCTCCGCTGCATCTTTGCCCTCCTTGCGAGCCTTTCCGATCTATTGATCAGATCCAATTGTCGAAGCATACAGCAGTGGACAAAATACGCTTTTCCTTCTTCATGTTGTCAATGCTTCCAACAAGAGCTCTCCATTTCTACAGTGAATTGGAAACACGAAAGGTACGTCATCCAGAGCGATCACTTCATCGACAAGCTCCACACTGGCAAAACGGTCTTTCTGGGATTTACGAACCAAGTCCGGGTTTCCTCCACGCGAGACACGAAGCAGGTTAATATCAATAGGCATTGTAAGTAAACAATTGTTTGGTTGGAAACGAAGGGATCTGTCTGGAGTGTTGTATATAGTATGTTGAGAGGTGAAAACAGGTCCCATATAGTCTAATAGGTTAGGATAGCAGGCTCTCACCCTGCCGATCCGGGTTCGATTCCCGGTGTGGGAATTCTTTTTTCTTTTTTCTATATTTTTATTACTCGAAACTACAGACTACTGTATCACGATAACAAACCATCTTATTTTGGAAAGATTCTAATAGAAGAACAGCATCTTGTATATGCCTTATTGAAAACGAAAACAGATCCCATATAGTCTAATAGGTTAGGATAGCAGGCTCTCACCCTGCCGATCCGGGTTCGATTCCCGGTGTGGGAATTCTTTTTCCCTTTTCTCCCTTGAAACTACAAACTATTGTTTTACAGCAGCAAACCATTCTATCTTCGAAAAACAATGGAAGAAGAAAAAAAGAACGTAGTGAGTGCCAAAGAGATCGAAGACAAGATGGAGAAGGTGGCAGAAGAGAAGAACGTAGAAGATGCGCCTAGTTTTCCTGCCCTTTCTGCAAAAGACATGGCTGTAGGAGGTGATTGCAATGTTTACCTTTTAGGGCAAGGAGGAGATTCGTCGCATTCGTTGTCCTCCAAATCGATTCATATCCTGATTAATGTGCATTGCACAACTTGTATAGTCATCTTAATATGCAAACACCGCTTAAGAACAACTGGGAAAAGTTGATGCGTCCAGTCGTTGACCAGTTAAAGCTGCTGATTCGATTCAACAAGAAGACCAACTGTGTTGAGCTAAAGGTATGGTTGTTGTGTCTTTGCTTACTCTGTAGACTTCTCCTCACACTGTGGACAGCAGTTGTCTGCAGAAGGGAGAAGACTACATCCATGCGTTTATGCTGGGTTTCGACATTGCAGACGCAGTGGCTCTGCTTCGTTTGGACGATTTGTACATTGGTCGTTGCTTTCACATCGATTCACGTGCAGAAACCTTCGAAATCAAGGACGTTCGTCTGCTTCATGGCGACCACATCAGTCGAGCGATCGGTCGAATTGCGGGACAGGTGGCCGCAGAATCGATTTGTGAGAGATAGATGGGCAAGACCAAGTTTGCGATTGAAAACGCTACGCGCTGCCGAATCGTGTTAGCTGACCAGACGTATGATTCGTTTTGCCGATGTTTTTTATATTTTAGGATTCACATCATGGGGTCCTATGCTAATATTGCGATTGCGAGGAATGCGATCTGCAATCTGATCATGGGCTCACCTCCCAGCAAGGTGTATAACCAGATGAAACAGGTAGCTGCTCGACAGAGAGAGCGTTTCTAATGTCGTTTTATGTTGCTGTGTGGTGTTTGTTGGAAGAAATGAGAGGTTTTGGAATGGAGATGGAAAGAATAAAAGTCGACATGATGAGGTTGAGTATCTGATTGTTCGATACAGAGCCGAAGAATAAGAGAGAGAGAAGAGTAGTGCTGTTAATTGCACGCCTTTAGTGATACATTGGTGTTGATATAAAATAAGGATACTTCATGGTAATGCCAACGTAGTTTGAATTGATTCTCTATCACTGGAGTTACCATTTGTGTGATCTCCATTTCGATATTTCCTTCTTTTATGATCAAGTGGCAAATGAGTCAACAAGGAAGAACATCCAATTGCCTTGCTTTATCCCAGCAAATCCTACCCAATAATATACAACAATACTGCCTGTAGGTTCCTAACAACAAGAAAAACGCATTTCTCTAGTATTCCGCTTGACAACCATGAGCTAACACTCCATCATAGCTTATAAATTGCATGCCCTCACGTCCGACAAATAGAAATGCGTAAAGAACTCGCAACAGCCAACAAAAATAAGCACACATAAAAACTTCCACTGTGGATAACCTAGTTTCGGTATGGAGAACATTCATATACCCACAAGTTATGAAAATGTGATACACTTATGGTTAGCAGTTATCAGCCGTTCTACATAATGGTTACACCTTTCAATGTCTTTGCCATATCACAAATCCTCCCATCTATACAACTATCACTCTAAAACCTCAGCCTATACTCACTCTCCTTCCACTTCTCCTTATTTAGATACAAAACTTATTATTTAAATTACTACATCACAAACCCAAAAGTTCAATGATAATAATAAGAATATGTGGTACGTTTAAAAGTAATCCTTCTTTTTTATTTGATAATTAAATTTTATTATTATGAATCAAGATAATGATGAAAATATACAAGTACCAATGCTAACGGTGGATGTGGCACCCTTTGACCAATCATGTGGTAATCTACGAATGGAAGACAATGGTCCTGAAATATGGAATTGGTGTGTCTCAAACCAATTTCCTATTAGTGAAACCATATCAAAGAATGAGAATGTGACAGTTTTGGGTGTTGGTTACCCACATCAGGGTTATTCGATCCACGCCCACATGAAGGATGGTAAACTAGATGGGGATGCTACAATACAAACACCTAACAATGTAGTGATTGCCAAAATTCAGTATTCTGAAGGCAAATTGACTGGACCTTGTGAATTGTATTACCAATCGGGCACTATTTTCTTTAAGGGCTATCTCGAGAATGGTTATCGACATGGAAGAGGAAAGGAGTACGATGAACAAGGAAGTGTGATATTCGACGGATATTATGATAAAGGCAATAAGTTAAGATTGGATCCTTTTACAGAAATGGGTGAAGGATATTGGAAAGTTCTGGATGAGAAAAATCAGTTGCGAAATGTTTTCAGATTTGTCGATCCAGACCAACACAATGAAATCTGTTATTTCTATGATTGTGGAAAGATTTCGCGCGTGAGTGAATGTATAGATGGCAATGAAGTCAAAGTGTTGAAAGAATTCAAAGGTGATGAAACAATGATAGAGTATGAAAATGGTGTAAAAGTGTACAAGGGAGGATTTTTGGATTCTTTGGAACAAAACTATCCAAGAAATGGAGCTGGAACAGAGTATGACGCTGATGGACAATCGATTCTATTTAAGGGAATGTATAAGGATAATGTGCGTCATGGAATGGGAACATGCTACAAAAATGGTGAGCCAAGCAGCACAGGCAAAACGGAATGGATAATGGGGCGTTCGTTGCAGAATACCTTGATTGTTCAAATATTGAAAATTGTAATTCTTGTTGTATTACTAATAACATGTCTAACGATAAACCTGATTCTTGGTATTTCCTTCTCTGTTCTTGCAATACTGTTCCTTTTGATTCGTTGGAAATGCCCAAAGTACCTTGGAAGCAAAATAAGTGATTTTACTGATTATGAGAAAATAGCTCAAGTCATAACCGAGAACGATTCGAAAGAATACAATCGAACTCACAAATCGTGCAAATCAAAAATGAAGAAAACAGGCGTTTTCCTGTTGAAAAATATCTACGTGTCAACCATAATTGTTATTGTTATTATTATGACAATATGTGCTATTATTTACAAACTTTTAGATCCCTATTATGGAAGTCCACATGGAATAGGGTATTACTCAGAAACATATGAAGTGAAAGATGGAAGTGAAAACCGTCTATTACGTTTTATCCTATCGAAATATCCGAATCTAAAGTTTGTGGATATTGGTAATAATTGTTTTGGAAATGTGAGATTATTCAGAATCGATGGATTGAATCGATTGCAAACTCTGCAGATCGGTAAATATTCATTTACTCAGACAAAGGATAAAAGAGGAAATGATCCATCGAAATCATTCCACATATTGAATTGTGAATCATTGGAATCCATTCAAATTGGTGAATACAGTTTCAGTGATTTTGCTGGAGACTTTGAATTGAAGAATCTACCACAACTACGATTAATCAAGATTGGCTCAGTAAATATAGTATCAGATAATTTCTATTATAGCTCATTTGTAATTCGAGGTATTGATACGATGTTGAATAAATGAAAAATAGATCTTCCGAGGCTACAATCCATTACATTGTGTAATACTGCATTTTCTGCCTCTTTATCAACAATAATTGAAAGTATTGAATGAGTTTGAATGAAATGATTGACATAGATCTCCCATCCTTACAAAGAATTGAATTAGGATGGTTAGCACTTTACGGAAAAAGCGATGAATCCTGTTCCTTGACAATGCGAAGTATGGATAAAATGATTCGAAGTGATTGAATGTAGATCTTCCAAACCTAACTACCATTGTCAATACTCAGGGAGATAGTTTTGTTAATACTCGTGAAGTGCAGTTGGAAAGTATTTTTATCTATATAATCCTGACTGGGTTTAGATATTCCAAATCTTCGAAGTGTCACTCTTCCTCGTTCATTCCAAAATGTTCATTGGAAATCAATTTCGAGTATTGTTTGATTGACTTGATTTCATTCCTAGATGTTTCTTCCATTCTTACTGATCTTATCCCCTAAATCAAGAGAAAGGAATACCAGTTTTGAATTTACTCAATTTCACTAATTGATAATTGCGTTGTCTATGCTTTCTTTGCTCTTGTTTGTTCAAGACCATTTTCCTACTACTTCCGTGGCTATTTAATGATTCAATGTATTCATGACGACGACTCAGATTGGTTCAGCCGACATGTTCCAATCATTCACATTTTTGTTGTAAGTATAAAATATGGTGATAATGTGGCACCATCGAATCTATATCTAAATGTAGGTGTTATTGGCAGGAACGTGTCTATGATTCTATCTATGTTAAACTAGAAGTTCGTGCAAGACTTTGTGTCCAAACGATTCACATGTTACATACATTTGATTTTGTTCTCTAATTATAATACCGCTAATTTAGAATATGCTGTATACTGAAAGATGATTGTATTTTCCATGGTAAGTGATTCCCTACTGAGAAGTATTCTTTTCTCTCGAAACCTCAAATTCAAGTGATACATGAAAGCATCGCTCCAGCGATTATTTGCTGACTCAAGTCTATGTTGCAATCTACCATCTGAACCATATTAATGTAAAACTGTGATAAACAAAGAGATTAAATTTCTGTTTGATCATCTACAAGCAC